ATGATTAATTAGGAGATCATGCGGTACGAATAACATAGAATATAAATTACATCACAAAGAGAAACCATATTTAATATGGTTTGATACAGCTTGTTTATATCAATGAATAAGAGAGAAATCCATGATAGTGATGTCAACATGAATATACCTTGTGTGTTTCCTGAAACCTCCTATAATCTTGAATTAGTTTTCATCTTTATATTTATAGGTGATACACGAGATATTATACTCTTAATATATAAAAATCATATTCTATTTATAAATCATAATAAGATTGGCATAATTATATTCCTATTTATAATTATATTACTAATTAAATAAGTATTTCTAAAGAGATACAATTTATATAGAAAAGGAGTTAAAATATCCCAATAATAGCAGAAGCAAAATTCTTGCATGAAAGTAAAAACAATAAGGAAAAAAAAGTAATATCCTAGCTCCGTCATTATTTATTCCATTAATTGACCAACAAAACCTAATCAAAAGACGTATAAACCTTTATATGTCTTATTGAATATAACAAAAGAAGCAAAACAATAGTAGTGATTTTTAGGAGATCACACGTGGTAAAACTAAACATTAAAAATAAATAACATAGAATATAAATCACACCACAAATAAGACATAATATTTAACGTGGTTTCATACTTTCATTATTATTATTATTATTATTGGTCTCTGATACTAAACTAACCTATTAATTTTTTTTTAGAAATCTTCCCTGGGCCTCTGTAGATAACGATAGCAATGTTGTTAGATATACTTACATATAATTGAATATTCTTGGTGTTATGATATGAGTCTTATTATCAATTTGATTCTTACAAAGACAAACACCTAATCCTCTACCCTTAAGGAAACACAACCTTCACTGAACAATGCACCTAATCGCAAAAAGAATTACAAGATTTGAGAATAAAAGTGAAAAAAACCCAGCAGAGAAAACAGTTCTCAAATGGAGTTGAAAAATCTGCTTGCAAACTGGCGATTAATGAGTTTATATACTGCTTGACCAAAGACTTGATGGCCACCGTTGGATCACAAGAAGAAGCAACGATCAGGATTCATTTATACGGAAAAAACCAAAACGACAGTGAATGTGCGCTTCACATTTAACACTTGGATATGGTTATATCAAGATACAAGTAGCAGAAGTAATTTGAAGTCATGCCCAATGACTAACACAAATATAATCAGATCATCAAAGTAATTTATTAATTTATTTATTTGAATATCAGTAGAAAATTGATATTCCGAAAAAACAGTAGACATAAACTTTGTGTACAAAAGGTATTGAGACAGAAATGAATGGACACTCACAAAAGCAAAACTCTACCAAAACTCTTCTTAGCTAACAATATGATATAAGTATGAAACAGAAAGGGTGTTACTAGTGAAGAAAAAAGCATTGAATTTAAAGGGTCCCGTCCCGACTCATAATTTAATAGCCACCTGTTGTCATTTATTGATCTGTGATATTTTTCCTTTCCTAACTTTTATCTCCAACATGTTCAGGATTATTACTCATAAATACAAAGAATACTTCATCATGTTAATTAATTTTTTTTTTTTTTTTTTTTTGGTAGAAGACGCGTTTTAGTACAGTACAATACTGCACAACAAACGCGCCCTGGATCTTCTTTATCATATATACAAAATCGTTTTTGTTATATTTTATTTTTCATTCCGTCTATAGCTATAAGTTCACTCTTTGTGTTTGCTCTCAATCAAGATACACTCCCTCAACTCATCACTGTTTCCTTCATATCCCTCTTTACTCCACCTTCCTTTACCTTCTCCTCCTTTCCTACGTACGTTTTTCTGTTTTCTTTTCCTTCACCGCTTCAGGGAAAAACTCTTTGCAGATTTTTTTTTGGCTAAAAGAATTTTTTGTTTATTTAATTATCGAAATGTTATATTATTTATTTTAATTATAAAATGACTTTTATTACCCTTAGTGAAATGACTTTTGGACAGTGGAGAGAAGAGGTGCATTTCCCAATGGCCAATACAATTTAATGAATGAAATTGGCATGCTTTGTATAGGCTGACAAAAGTAGCCCACTTTCCTAATATTTCTAAAGCACGTTACCCCACTCTTCACAATTCACGTGTCCCTCGTAATACCAAGTCAACATCAGAATAGGAACAAATAAACCAACACATCATGGAAATTTGTCGATAGGTTAATGAGATTGAGAAATTGGCTGCGCTTGAATACATATTTTCATTCATATTTTGTGCCGGATTTTGAGAATAGTGTTTGGTTTAATATTTAGAGAATAGGATCTTCAGAAACTTATTCCAACACTTTTCTTGACAGCTCCACAGGGATGATGAGATGATTCAGTATGTGGCTAAGCTTGTTTGTGTACAGTCCATTCATATCTTATCATAATATCAGAAATAATGGGTGGGATATTCGTTTGGAACGAAATGATAGCTGGCCAGCATATGATTTACCTTTAACTTAAACAGCTTTTCCAGCATGCATTCTAAAGCCACTTTAACCATGTTCACAACACATGATTGCGCCTTGTTACTGTTTTTGTCTTTTTAGCTGTCTTCGAGTTTTTACATTTACCAAAGAAGTTCTTCATTTCCTTTCCTTTCTTTTTATTTTTTATTTTTTTAGAAAAATATTTTTCATATCTAACTTTATGTCCAAATGTTAAGGATTATTAGTCATAATCGTAAATACAACGAAAGCTTTATGATTATAATTTTGGTTTATTATTATCGTTATTACTATTAATCTGCGAGTTTGAATGTGTAATTTTTTATATTAAATACATGGATCGAATTGATATTAATGAGGTGAAAAGAAGGGGCATGGGATGGGAGGGTTTGAACTTTGAGGGAATAGAAGAGGGGTGAAATTATAATTTGGAAATAGTCTGGTTAAAGATTAGGAGTTTAAGGTGTGGAGTGGAGGAGACATGGAGTCTATGCATTGGCCAATTAAGTTTTTTCTGTTTGCTTCTCTTTCACCGCTTAAGATAAACAATCTTTGCAGATTTTTTTTGGCTAAAATAATTCTTTTGAGTAGGAACACATCCTTGCTTAATTATCCGAAACTTTTGGAGAGTGGGGAGAAGTGGTGCACTTCCCAATAGTCAATACTATTTAATGAATGAAACTGACATGCCTTGTATAGGCTGACAGAACTAGCCCACTTTCCTAATTTTTCTAAAGCAGGTTACCCTACTTTATTTTTGGAATTAACGCCCATCTCTCACCTAGAATATATCTATTATATTCAAAGAATCAACCAAGGCTTACAAATTACAGATCTAGATTCTCATTCACTAATGATATGTTTTTTTTTATGTGTTTACCTTTGAAATGATTGTTCATTTTGAGTACGAAAGGTCTTGAGGCAAAAATGAATGGACGCTCCCAAAAGCTAATATACACACTAACACTGACAAAACTCCTCTTCTTTGCTAACAATAATGATACAAGTATGACACAAAAAGGATGTTACTAATGAAAAAAAGGCATTGAATTTGAAGCGTTTGCGAAAGTGTAGTAGGGTCCCCGACTCATAATGGCCACTTGCCACTGCCCACTGCGACCTATTTTGGAGTTTTTAGAGAGGGAAAATGTGTGAAGCTTTAGAATGGTTAAACATGAAACGTGGCTAAAAAACAATAAATTATGAATAATGAATAATATCGTGACCAGACATGCATAGTACTGTTTGCTTTCTCAGTGGGGTTATAATTTGAAAAAAAAAATAAAGTTGAAAGTTAAGTATGAATCTATGATGTCTTTAAGCTGCAATCTACCTCTTGCATTCACATTATATTTGACTTTAAAACATGAACGCGCTTGAGGTTTATTCATTTTTGTGAATAACAACTTAACTAGATCCATCGGCTCTAAAAAGTAGTAAATATGTTCAAACGTTAAGAAATAGTAACATTATAAAATAGATCTAATTGTCGTAATTAATTTCTTAACGCACACTTTGTTGTCATAAAAATTGTGTAATTCTACATTTGCTCCATGCTTGTTTTGTTGCCATCTCAGTTTTATTTTCAATTAATGGAAAGATAGAGTGCTGAAATTGTTGTTTTCATTGCTGCAAAAATTGTTGAGGAACATTTTCTCTATATATTAGAATTAGAATGACAACAAGAACAACTTATAAAATCTGAAACAGTATAATTTGAGAAACAGAGACATAAAATAATCATCTCATCATTCTTGTGGAATACAACGGACCAGCGTATGAGTTACCTCTAACTTCGGAGTTTTTCCAGCATGCATAAAGAAAAAGATAAAGTCATCGGTGGACCTAGCTGTTTTTTTAGTCTTTAATACAATTGTGAATTGTGAACATAAAATAATTTCTAAAGCCTCTTTCACTGTGTTCACAATACATCATTTTTGTTACGGAAAGAAGTGAAAGATGAAGAGCATCTTAAATAGTTAAAATTTGCCAACTCTCACCAGTTATTCATCGTGTAAGACAAGATTATCATTTTAAATTTTTATTATCTTTTAACTCATGAGATAAGATCAAGGACAGAGATTAAATAACAAATTGTCCACCTCTAGATGAAATTTCTTTTTTTATACGGTCATAAACTTTAAGCCGAAATTATCAAATTAATCATTTATAATATAATTAAAGATATATTTGATATGTTATTTATTTTCATATTCGATGTACTTCACAACCTCAAAACATTTTGTGCAAGCATTGAATTTGTATGTGTTAATTAATTTGTTTATTGTTTTCTTCCTGTTTTGAAGAAAAAGTTAATAGCCATAAAATTGGCTTTAATTTGAAGAAAAAACAAAAAATCATAATTGTTGACATGTGTTCACTTGCGGTGTCGACTTTTGCTCTTTATCATGTTAATTAATTTTTTTTTTACAGGACGCGTTTTAGTACAATGCAATCCTGCACCACAAACGCGCCCTAGATCTTCTTTATCATATGCACCAACTCGTTTTCGTTATATATTTTATTTTTCATTCTGCCTATAGCTATAAGCTCACTCATTGCATTTGCTCTCAATCAAGATACACTCCCTCAACTCATCACTATTTCGTTCATATCCCTCTCTACTCCACTTCTCTGAAGCTCCTCTTTTTCTACGTTTTTCTGTTTTCTTCACCTTCACCGCTTCAGAGGCCACTCCTGCTGATCTTTTTTTTTTTTTGGCTAAAAGAATTCTTTTGAGCAGAAACTACATCGCTTGATTTTTTACTCCCATTCTTTTATTCACCCCGGTTTTTTATTTAAAAAAAAAAAAATCTCTCATTTTCTCTGTTTCTTGTTTAACAAAAAAAAAAAAAAAAAAATTGTTTTGTTATTGTCTCTGTTTTAATTTCATTTGCTTTCTTTCTCCCTACTTTTCAAATTTAAAAAAACGAGTGAAGCAGAAAGGAAAAAGGGTTGAAAATGGTCGAGTTTGCCGCGAGTATTGCAGGTATTGTGGGTACTGTTCTCGGTGTTGGCAAGTGCTTTACGTACTTGTTCAACCACAAGGGCAACTTAAGTAAGCTCGAAAGAGAAGTTGGGAAGCTGAAGGTTACCAAAAATATAGTGGATGTTAAGGTTGAAGATGCTAGAAAAAATGTGGAAGAGATCTTAGGGACGGTTGAGCAGTGGGTAATTAGAGTGAACTCCATCGTTCCTGAAGCAGATACGTTGATTGAAGAGAGAGCAAACGTCGGATGTTTCAACTTGAAAGCCCGCTACAGACAGAGCACGAGAGCATCGATAAAGGTGGAGGATGTTGCTCAACTCCTGGAGGAACAAAAAGCATTCGGCGATCAGGTTTCCCGCCGTATCAGTCATGAAGATACGAGGCTTATATTGAATCAAGATTACTTGGCCTTTCAATCACGATCGTCCACTTTGGAGGATGTATTGAAGGCATTAAATGAGGCCGAGGTGGACATTATTGGGGTTCATGGGATGGGTGGCATCGGTAAGACCACCCTGGTCAAAGAAGTTGTAAGGCAGACGAAGGCAGACAAGCGATTTGATAAGGTGATTTTTGTAGAGGTAACTGACGCTCCGAACATAGGAAAGATACAAGAAGAAATTGCGAAAAAATTAGGTTTGAAGTTTGATGATGAGAAGACTGAAACTGAAAGAGCAGACAAGTTATTTGCACGATTGAAGGAGGAGAAGACAATCCTAATAATTTTAGATAACATTTGGGTCTATCTTGATCCGAAGGAACTAGGAATTCCTAAGGGATGTAAACTAATGTTGACAGCAAGGGATCAAAGCGTGTTGGGCAGGATGGATTCAAAGTCTTTCTCGATTGGCCTTTTGGAGGAAGAAGAAGCTTGGAGATTGTTCAGAAAGATGACAGGTAATAACGTCTTTTCCTTGTACATTTCTATTGGTTTGTTACAATTTTTAATACTAAGTTATAGATTTCACTCATTTCAGAGCTCCCCGGATCTCTAAAGAAAGTTTTATTCATTTAAATTTTGTAACACAAAAATATAATACTTGCTGTTTCAGTTTACTTGATTGGATCAATTTTTTTTATTTTTTTTTTGAAGTAATAATAACATGAAAAATAGTTCAATTTCACCAACATACTCGTTAACTATAGCCTTGATATGTAAATATGTATACCAAAAGTTTTATGTGAATAACATGAAAAAAGGTTCAATTTCACCCGTTTACTCGTTAAAGAGGACCATCTTAAGCCTTAAACACTTCGTAAGCAGCAACTGGACGCCACATGCACTTCTATTCCGCCACCTAAATTTGTATCATCACTGTTTCAACCGTACAAAAATTGAATGAATGATCATTCAAGAGAAAGTCACAAGATGATAAGAAGCGCCGATGAATATTGTGTCAGTGATTTTATACAAGAAAAGTGGAAAGAGAAATATCAATTAAAAAAAGATATTTTGAAATTAAGTGCTATTTATTTATATATTTAGATATACTAACAATTTTGAATGAGAGTTATTTAGAATGGTGGTCTATAAAAAAATAGATGGAGAGAAATAACAATATCACTCAATTTTTTGCACTTTATATAGGTTTTTATAGCAGTGCTTTGGAGAAATAACAGTATCTTCCTTTTGTTGAATCTTCAATTAGTTTCCTCCAGCCGTTTGAAATTATTCTTTAAGGTTTTAGTATTTATTTGATATTTTAAATTTTTTTTATAAAACAAAGTCTTTAATTGTATATAAATTATAATGTACACATCCAATCATATAATTATATATACAACACTTTAAAATATATATAAGAATGCTATTTAGCATAGGTATTTTTTCTTTTATGCAAGTCTTATTGTTGTTAGACCTTGGCCCTTTTGAACAAAATGGCCCTGACTCTGATGAACTTTTATATATAAATATCAACACCAGTTCATGCATCAATATTATATGATCCCGTAATAATATATATTTTCATTATTTTGTCCTTTCAGCAGTGTTTTCAAATTATGCGGTCGAAAATATTCTCAAATATTTAACAAACAAAAGATATATTTACTTTTTATATGTCAAACAATAAATTTCAGAATTGATTTTGCAATATATTCTTAAAGAATTCTAAATTAATCAACATACTTTATAAAAATTTATCTTTCTGCCACCTTGATTTATAATTCTCATTCCCCTTGTAGGTGAAGTTGTTGATACGTGTGAGTTGCAATCTCTGCCGAAATATGTATGCAAGGAATGTGGTGGTTTACCAATTGCCATTGTTACTGTAGCAAAGGCATTAAAGAACAAGAGAGAACTATCTCAATGGAGGAAAGCCTTACAAGAATTGAGAAGTCCTTCCCCAACAGAGTTCAAAGGAGTGCTGAAAGAGGCATATTCAAAGATAGCATTGAGTTACAATTATTTAGAAGGTGAGGAACTCAAGAAAGTTTTTTTGCTCTGTAGTATAATGACACATGATGCTTCCATTTCAAATTTGTTCAAATTCGTTATGGGTTTGAATATACTTGAAGGAAATAATCTTAAAATAGAAGAAGCTCGAAATAGACTAGATGCGCTTCTTCATGAACTCAAAGAATCTTGTTTATTACTTGGTTGTTCTTCAAGTGAACGATTTTCTATGCATGATGTTGTTCGGGATATTGCTATAACAATTTCATGTAGAGACCATCATGTACTTACGGAGAGAAATGATGTTGAAGATGAATGGAAAAATGTAGATATACTCAAAAAGTGTACCAAAATCTCCTTAGCTAGTAGCAATATTATTAGTGAACTTCAGGCTGAAGGTTTAGAATGTCCAAAACTTGAATTTTTCTATATGGGTATGAAGTACCATTCTTCTTTCAAATTTCCTGAGAAATTTTTCTCAGGGATGGAAAAACTCAAAGTTTTAAGTTGGAAACGTTTTCCATCATCAATTAGTCTTCCAATAGGCCTTCAAACATTGTGTTTGGATAAGAGCGAAATTAGAGAAGTTGCTAGTATAGGAGGGTTGAAGAAACTAAAGATCCTTAGCTTGAGTGGTTGTTATCGTATTAAGCAATTGCCTGGAGAAATAAGTCAACTAACTCAACTAAGGTTGTTAGATTTAAGCGGTTGTCTGAATCTTCAAGTTATCACAGTAGATGTCATATCAAGCTTAGTCCAATTGGAAGAATTATACATGGGAGGATGCTCTGTTCTATGGGAGGTCAGAGGACCCAATGTTAAAAGAAGTAATGCTAGTCTTGAGGAGTTGCTTCATTTGCCGCATCTCACTGCACTAGAAATAGATATTAAAGATGAGAAGATTTTGCCAAAAGGATTTTTCTCAAAAGAGTTGAAACGATACAGTATATCAGTCGGAGATGGGTTTCGTTGTCGTGGTTTATCCCTTGGATATGAGAGGTCATTATTTGGTGAGAGCGTTGATGGGTTTCGTCGTTGTGGTTTATCCCTTGGAGACGAGAGGTCATTATTTGGTGAGAGCGTTGAGTCTATTCAAAACAAGGGTTCAAGAAGAATCAAAATGAAGCTTAATTCTTCCATTTGCTTGGAGGAATTGCAAAGGATCAAGAATGTTGAATCCTTATGTTTGGATGAATTGCAGAATGTCAAGAATGGTCTTCAAGAATTAGACAATGATGGTTTTTCACAATTGAAACATCTCCATGTCCAAAATAATCCTAACTTCTTGTGTTTAGTTGACTCAACAAAATGCGTAACTGCCTTCCCCCTCTTGGAGTCACTAATTCTTTTCAATATGATTAATTTGGAGAAGATATGTAATGGTCAACCAAGAACAGAGTCCTTCTGCCATTTAAAATTCATAGAAGTGAAAGGTTGTCATAAATTGACAATTCTCTTCTCTTTTTCCCATGCCAAAATTCTTCCACAACTTCAAAGACTTAGAGTGGACGATTGCAGGAATGTGAAAGAGATTTTTGCTATTGAAAGAGAAGATAATGTCAACAATGGGAGCGATAAGATTGAGTTCTTTCAATTACGCTTCCTAACTCTGAAACATCTTCGGAGGCTTGCAAGCTTCTGCTCAGGAATGACTACAACATCGGCATCACAATCGAGACATGATGAATTGACATTGTTTGACGAAAAGGTAAGCTTGATGATAACCTTGCACTTTTCTATTATATATGTAAACAATTTTTAGTTCTTAATTTATCTGAGAAAATATTGAATAAACAATTAACTTTTACTGCAGCTTGTTATCTCCAATTTGGAGGCTTTAGAAGTTGAAGATATAGAATCTGAAATGATTTGGTGCAGTCCAACATTCATGACATCATTCTATCATAATTTAACAAGCTTGACCGTGCTGGGCTGTAGAAAACTAAAATACATATTTCCAGCTTCTATGGTTCAAAGCTTTAAGCACCTCCAAAACCTTCAGATTTGCAGATGCAGAGATTTAAAGGAGATTATTGCTCATGGAGCAGAAGAAACTCCTAAGTTTGTCTTTCCGCGGTTAAAGTTTCTAAAACTTGACAACCTACCAGAGCTTACAACTTTTTACCCTGGAAGGCATACTTTGGAGTGGCCTTTGTTAGAGAAGTTACGGGTTTGTGATTGTAAAAAAGCAAAGATATTCACTTCAAAATGTGGTAGCTCCAATGAAAATAACACGGAGGCCCAATTTCATAATTCAGAGCCAGCCCTCTTCTTGATTGAAAAGGTAAGTATCTGTTTTCTTTAGTTAATGAACAAGAACTAAACAAAATAGAATTATTAATAAATTTAGATATATACTTTCTATCTTTTTATTTTCTTTGACAAAATTTAGATATATAGAAAAAAATAAATTTGTAGTTTGATTTGGACAAATTTGTTATGGAAAATTAGATCATCCAATATTAATATGAGACATTCTCCTCCAAAGTTAACCACCGCAAACAGTTGATTTCAAATCATGCATGATCTGAATTCAAAAGAACATTCTTTTCCCACGTCAGTTTGTCTTTGGTGTTCAATTCAACATTTTGTTCCCCTTCTGTTTCTTGTTAAAATTATAAACTATTGGGATATTGTGTTTAACTGCAATTTGTTGTTGTCAACTGATATGCAGATCAACCCGGATTTGAAGGAATTGATAGTGTATAGCATGATTCCACTTGGAATCCTTAAAAGATTTAACAACCTAGAAAAGCTCAAACTAGAGGGGGGTTCAGACGAAGTATTATGCTCATGTAAAGAAGAAGAGAAAAATATTGAAATGCCAATACAAATAAAACATTTAGAGCTGGATCATCTTTATCAACTGAAGTACTTTTGGAAAGAAGACTGCAAGCTGGATCCTGTTCTTCTGTTTCAAAATCTTACCCATCTGAGAGTAACAGATTGCCATAAAATAGAGATGAACTTAATAACACCTTCAGTTGCCAGAAGTTTGCTGCAATTGAGGGAAATGAGTATCTGCAAATGCGATATGATAATAGAAGTAGTAGGAGATGAGAGAAATGCAGCAAAAGATGAGATTGGTTTTCCCAAACTGAAGTCGCTGTCACTTTATGATTTAGAAAATCTGGTGTGCTTCTACTCTGGGAATTGCATTTTAAAATTCCCATCGTTAGAAGAATTAAAAGTGATGCTTTGCCGCAATATGAAGACTTTCTCTCAAGGGGTCTTGAGCGTACCAAAGTTACAGAAGGTAGAGGGATTTATGGAAAAGCTGTGGGAGGGTGATCTTAATTCAACTATACAACAAATCTTTGAAAAAATGGTATGTATTTATTTACTTAAGTGACTAACTTTTCTATTAGTTTTTAATAAATACAGCTGTTTAGATACCATTAACCAAAAAAAAAAAAAAAAAATTACATCTTTTAAATTTAATAAGTAAATTCACATTTTATAGTTTTATAATGATAAGAAATAGTAAAATAATTAAAAAGATCAAAAAAAAAAAAAAGAATGGTTAAATAGTACATTAAATACGAAAAATACGTTTATAATGTTCCATTCATTATTTAGTAATTGGGTGAGGCTTAGCAGTAGTTTATTGCACAATATAGACCCAAATTAGGGTATACAATGGACTCATGCTTAGCCCATACATGTAGGCCTGTGAATTATTAATTGAATGAACATCGTTTTCATGCATTTTTGCTTTTGAATTATTTATTTATTTTTGCCCTTGATCTATCAATTTCTCTGTCAATCATTCTATCTTGTCTATTTCTAAAGTTTCTATCTCATTCTTTTACTTTTTCTCCATCATTTATCCAAGTAATTAGTGACTAGAGTTCAGTATAGACTTCTAGTCTGAAAATCATTCATACATAGAACAATAGGCCCCATGTGGGTAGTGGGGAAGTGAAGAATTGTATCAGTTCCACAATTATTTAATATTAATCCCCCCATTATGAACGATAAAATAGTTTCATAATGATAAAAAAAATAATATGCCACTTATTCTGCCAAACTCATAAAAGATAAAACCACTTAGGTATAAAGTTAACAGATTCTTGTTACATTTGTCAGTCTAGGGGCAAAATAGGCATAGAAAGTCTCATGAACGCACATTTTATGTAAAGAATTTTAAAAAAGGAGTACAATTTTGGGGCAAAATTTTCCATAAAGTTCAAGCGAAAAAACGAAATTCATCTACGAAGGAAATCCCTAGCAGTGACCTTAAAATCTGGACCAAAACCTAACTCAAAAACTCCAAAAGTGGCTAACCAAATTTATTAATTTTCATTGAGAGCTTTTATCAAACACTTAGTGAGCCTTAGCTTTTGACATACATGTAATATGAATCACAACATCTACCCAATTCTAAGACAGAAGCTTGTAACTAATTATATATATGTAATATGAATTAAAAATAAGAAGCAAAATACCAGCTAAAAAGTCTTACAAATTGAGATGGTGGGATCTTTGAGAGATATAAAAAAAAAAAAGAATGAGTGTATTAATAATGAGACCAATAACAAAACTATAAATTCTAAAATAATTGTGTGAGAAACATCAATTTTAACATGATTTATATTATTTATTTTCAGCATTCCTTTGATGCGAAGGAGAACATCAAGCAAATATGGCGAGGCCAAGTTCCAAATGAACCTGAGGCTGATCAAGTGAAAGCTGTTGAGATATTTAAAGACAAATCAACAAGCATTCCAGTTGAAATCATTAAGATGTTTCACAAGCTTGAAAACCTTGAACTAAAAGCAAGTTCATACAAAGAGTTGTTCTTATGTGGAGATGACGACAAATGTGCTGGGGCATTCACACAGTTAAAAATTTTGGAAGTCCTTTATTGTCGCAATCTGATCACTCTACTGCCATCTTCTACATCGTTTGAAAATTTAACAACTCTGAAAGTACAATATTGTAAGGGATTGAGGAGCTTATTGACATCATCAACAGCAAAAAGTCTGGTGCGACTCGAAAAAATGACAATAAAACAATGTGAAATGCTTACAGAAGTAGTAGCAAATGGGGGAGATGTGGAGAAAGATGTAGTTTTCAGGAAACTGGAGAGTTTGTCACTTGATTGTTTAGAAAATCTCACAAGCTTCTGCTCTGGGAATTACAACTTTAAATTCCTGTCACTGAACAGATTAATTGTGCATGATTGTCCCAAGATGGAGACTTTCTCTGGAAGAGTTTTAAGCACACCAAAGTTACAGAAAGTGGAAAGATACAAGTATGATTATAATGGGTGTTGGGATTATGATCTCAATACAACCATAAAACAATTACAAAAAATGGTACGTAATTATTTACTTAAAAAGTATCTGTTTTTGTTGATTTGATTACCTTCACATCTAACCACTAGAATTTTATATGTGCTAACTAAAATAATGGTTGTAGACTCTTAACACTTTTCAATCCCCATGGCCTCGTCTTTACTTTTTTACTTTAACGAAAATAATGATCTTAATAAGTACTTAATTAATTGAATACTAAAATTGATATCTGATGGTAAGATGAATGGTGTAACCTTACCATAAAACGTCTTGATGAAAGATACCTTTAATTGATCAAACAAACATTTTCTACTTTTACTTTCAATATGTTGTGCTCTATGTAGATTGTGTTTTCATCTTCATTAATTGTTTTGCTTTTATCTTTCCTTCTTCAATTGTGACGTTGCTCTGAATATATAAACATCACTTATGTTTCCATCATTTTATCATTTGAGGTTGAATGGTGGAAACAATTATTTTACTCTTAATTTATATAGAATAAAAGAATATTATTGAAATAAGAATTATGAATGCAGGTCGTTTTCCCCGATATGGGGTGCACTGAACTGATGTCATTGAAGGAATTTGCTGAAACGTTATGTGACATCCAGCTTCTGATGTCAACATCTTCCTCGTATCGTAATATAACATGCTTGATTTTGAAGGGTTTTAAAAAGCTGAAATATATATTTTCATCTTCTCTAGTAAAAGGCTTTGAACAGCTTCAACAACTTGAGATAATAGATTGTGTAGCTTTAAAGGAGATTGTTACGATGGAAGAAATAGAAACAACTTTTACGTTTGTCTTTCCACGGGTAACATTTTTAAAATTCAAGAACCTACCAGAACTTGCAACATTTTACTTTGGAAGACATACTTCAGAATGGCCGTTGTTAGGAAAGTTACAGGTTTGTGATTGTAAAAAGGTAAAGATATTCACTTCAGAATATGGTAGCTCCAATGAAAACAACACAGAGGCCCAATTTGATATTTCAAAGCCAGCCCTCTTCTTGATTGAAAAGGTACGCATCTCTTTTCTTTGGTTAATAAAAAAGAAAATAAACAAAATAGAATAATTAATGATTTTAAATATATACTTTCTATCTTTTTATTTTCTTTAACAAAATTTAGATATATAAGAAAAAACCAAATTTGCAGTTTGATTTGGACAAATTTATTATGGAAAATTAGATCATCCAGTATAAGTATGAGAATTTATCACTCAAATTCAATGAAAAAAAGTTTGGCTTATTAATTTAAATTTTAACCACCGAAAACAGTTTATTTCAAATCAGGCATGATCTGAGTTTAAAAGAACATTCTTTTGCCACGTCATTTTGTCTTTGGTGTTCAATTCAACATTTTGTTCCCTCTCTGTTCCTTGTTAAAAATATAAACTACGATATTTTGTTAACTCAAACTTGCTATTATCTATTGTTATGCAGATCAACCCTGGTTTGAAGGAATTGATAGTGGATGGCATGATTTCACTTGGAATCCTTCAAAGATTTAACAACTTAGAAAAGCTCAAAGTAGACGGGAGTTCAAACAAAGTATTATTCTCATGTAAAGAAGATTGCAAGTTGGATTCTATTCTTCTTTTTCAAAATCTTACCCATCTGGAAGTAACCCGTTGCCATGGAATATTGATGAACTTAATAACACCTTCAGTTGCCAGAAGTTTGCTACAATTGAGGGAAATGACAATCAACAGATGCGATATGATAATAGAAGTAGTAGAAGATGTGAGAGATGCAACAAAAGATGAGATTGATTTCCCCAAACTGAAGTCGCTGTCACTTGATTATTTAGTAAATCTAGTGTGCTTCTACTCTGGAAATTGCATTTTAAAATTTCCATCTTTAGAAGAATTACACGTGAGTCGATGCCCCGATATGAAGACTTTTTCTCAAGGAGTCTTGAGCGCACCAAACTTACAAAAGGTAGAGGGAGATTGGGGAGAGTGGTGGGAGGGCAATCTTAATTCAACTATACAACAACTATACAAAAAAAAGGTATGTATTTATTTACTTAATAACTTTCCTTTTTAGTTTTTAGATACCATTAGAAAATAAAAAAAAAAAATTAAATTACATCTTTTTAAAATCTAGGTAAATTTTTTTCCCTAACAGAGTCACTTTAAAGTTTCGTAAGTAAATTCACATTTTATAGTTTCATAATGATAAGAAATAGTAAAATAACTAAAAAGCTATAAAAAAAAAAAAAAATGGTATATTCCAAAATTCATTGACACTACAACAAATTTAGAGTTTCAATGAAGAGCCACTTTTGGTGCCATTTTTTTTTTTTTTCCTTTTACTAATGGTTGAATTAGTAGACAAGTTATTAGCATGTAGGTATTATTAATTAACCACCACCACACGACCCCACCCCCCAGGCTTGCCAAACTCATAAAACCACTTAGGTACATATAATGACGCAAGACCCCCTGTTATATAAAGTTAACCGATTCCCATAGCATCTGTCAGTATAGGGGCAAATAGTCATAGCATGGATAAACATGAATAAAAAATTAAAAACAAAAATCTCAGAAAGTCCCATGAACACACATAAAACAAAGAATTTAAAAAAAGGAGTATAATTTAATAGAGGTGTTTAAAAGCGGTTAATCGTCTTTTTGAATCGAACTAATTTTTTGGTTCAGGAAAATTTCCAAACCGAAATCGAACAGTTACAATACTTTTTTTTTTAAATTTTTTTTCTAAATTAAATTGTAAATATAAAAACCAGTTTTCCCTCTTTTTTTATAAAACTTATTTTTTTAATTTTTTTCTAAATTAAATTGTAAATATAAACAATACATATCCAAATAAAAATTAAACATTCATACATATTCATTGACTACTCCTAACAATACATTAAAAATTTATACAAATAAAAGTCCGAAATGAAATTATTTTTTATTTAATATATAATATTTATTTTTATTTTTATTTAATATATAATATATATATGTAAAACCGATTCAAAAAACCGGTTTCAGTTAACCCTTTTTTATTTTTTCCCAAACCAAAAATCTGGTTTTTTGAATTGTTCAAACTGTAACCGAACCGTTTTTTTGATTAACTTGTTTTTTGGTTCAGTTTGGTTTTTGCATTTTTTTTAACACCCCTACAATTTAGGGGGCAAAATTTCCATAACGTTCAAGCAAAAAAACAAAATTCATCTATGAAGGAAATCCCTAGAACTGACCGTAAAAATAAAATCTGGACCAAAACCTAACTTAATAACTCCATAAGTGGCTAACAAAATTTATTAATCTTCATTGAGAGCTTTTATCAAACACTTAGTGAGCCTTAGCTTTTGACATAGAAAAACCAAATATAGATAACAAAATCCGAACATCTACCCAATTCTAAGACAGAATCTTTTAACCAATTATAGATGTGTAATATGAATTAAAAATAAGAAAAAGCCACTTTCAGAAATAGTGGGATCTTGAGAGATATAAAAAAGAGTATTGAGTGTATTTAAAAGTTATCATTTGGGGGCTCTAAAATCACTTTCCATATATATAGTTTTAGTGTACTAATAATGAGACAAATGGCAATTGCCTAGTTACCTTTCATGGTAATGGATAATTAAAATATAACTGAATTATATTTTGACTTCTAAATTTGCATTTCAAGTATGTATTATTGATTTTTATTACGAAATGAATTATGTTATTATATAGCTTAACTAACTAAGGCTGGGCCAACAAATGACAACAAACTATCAGCTAATAGTAACAAAACTATAAATTTTAAAAAAATTGTGAGGAACATCAATTTTAACATGATTTATATTATTTATTTTCAGCATTACTTCTATCCGAAGGCACTGACATTAATTGAAAAGGACATCAAGCAAATATGTCGAGGCAAATTTCCAGAACATGAGTTTGATGATGTGAAAACTCTTACGATCGCTAAAGACAAATCAACAAGCATTCCGATTGAAACCCTTGAGGCGTATCACAAGCTTGAAAACCTTAGACTAAAAGAAGGTTCATACAAAGAGTTGTTCTCTTGTGGAAATGATGATAAACGTGCTGGCGCATTCATACAGTTAAAAATTCTGGAAGTCGTTCATTGTCACAATTTGACCACTCTACTGTCATCTCCTATGTCGTTCAAAAATTTGACAACTCTGGAAGTACGATATTGTAATGGATTGAGGAGCTTATTGACATCGTCAACATCAAAAAGTTTGGTGCAACTTCAAGAAATGGCAATAAAACAATGTGAAATGCTTACAGAAGTAGTAGCAAATGGGGGAGATGTAGAAAAATATGTAGTTTTCAGGAAACTAGAGAGTTTGTCACTTGATTGTTTAGAAAATCTCACAAGCTTCTGCTCTGGGAATTACACTTTCAAATTCTTGTCTTTGCAAAGATTAATTGTGCATAATTGTCCCAAGATGGAGACTTTCTCTGGAGGAGTTTTAAGCACACCGAAGTTGCAGAAAGTAAAAAGACATGGGGATCTTCATAGATTTCCGGCTGCTGATGTTTTTGGGTGTTGGGATTATGATCTCAATACAACCATAAAACAATTACAAAAAATGGTACGTAATTATTTACATAGAAAGTCAAATGTTTCTCTTGATTTGATCATCTTCACATCGAACCACTATAATTTTAATTGTGCTAACTAAAATAATGGTTGTAGACTGAATACTTGTCAATCCCCATGGCCTAACTTTTTTTTTCTTTAACTAAAATAATGATCTTAATACTTATTTAATTAATTGAATATTAAAATTGATCTCTCATGGTAAGACGAAGGGTGTAACCTTACCATAAAACGTCTTGATGAAAGATGTCTTTAATTGATCTAACAAACATTTTCTGCTTTTACTTTCAATAGGTTGTACTCTATGTAGTTTGTGTTTTCATCTTCATTAATTGTTCTGCTTTTATCATTCCTTCTTCAATTGTGACGTTGCTCTGAATGTTTTACATCACTTATGTTTCCATTATTTCATCATTTGAGGTCGAATGGTGGCAATAATTATTTTACTTCTTAACTTATATACATTAAAAGAATATTATTGAAATAAGAATTTTGAATGTTGGTTGTTTTCCCCGATATGAAGGTCTCAGAACGGAGTTCAACGTTATAGGACATCCAGCATTTGACATCAACGTCTTCCTTGTATCGTAATGTAACGCATTTGATTTTGGAGGGTTTTAAGAATTTGAAATATGTATTTCCATCTTCTCTAGTAAAAAGCTTTGAACAACTTCAACAACTTGAGATAAGAAGTTGTCGGGTTTTAAAGGAGATTGTTACAATGGAAGAAGTAGAAACAACTCCTAAGTTTGTCTTTCCACGAGTAACCACTTTAAAACTTGAGAACCTACCAGGACTTACAACTTTCTATCCTGAAAAACATATGTTGGAGTGGCCGGTTCTAAGAATGTTGGAGGTGTATGATTGTAAAAAAGTAAAGACTTTCACTTCAGAACATCTGAACTTCCATGAGGACAGTGAAGAAGCCAACTCTCTCTTGTTAATGGAAAAGGTACGAGTTTCTTTGTACTTTTGTTAATGAACTAGAAATTTGAAAACATCATTATAATACATAAATTAGATCTCTTTGATTATACAACTAATTAATATATTTTTTTTCTTTGAAAATTAAACTGGAACTTCTTCGGAGTTAATTAATGAGAGAGGTTGCATTGAAAAATTTGTTATCATATTGTTAAATAAGAAACCAATATTTAATATGTAATTCAAATATAAACTATTACCATTTATTTAATATGATATTCAAATATAAATTTTTATTTTCAAAAATTAGGTCTGTGAAAAAAAAATTATAAATTATACTTGATCATTTGTTTAAAAAAAAAAAAAAAATGTAGAGTTTTTGGATCCAATGTTAAAATTACTTGAAAAACCTCATTGGAAGATAAAAAACTCATACATTAGTTTGTCTTCGGCCTTTGTTTCTTGACCCATCAATTAAACATTTTTTTCTCTTATATTTCTAAAAATAGAAAAAAGTTAATGGATGTTGGGTGAAATCGTTAAAAGCTATTTTAACTCTGACTTGATTTTATTTTTATCTGATTAATGTGTAGATCAATCCCAATTTGGTGGCATTGAGATTGAGCGAAATAGATAGCTTCATGACATGGCAGGGCCCGTTTTTAGAAAACTGCTTTTGCAAACTTAAACGTCTTAAGTTCAAATTCACAAATGTACCAGTTGGAATCCTTCAGAGATTTAAGAATTTGGAAATGCTCAAACTACATTGTATTCAAAGCAAAGAGATATTCTTATGCGGAGAGGATGAGAAAACTATTGGGATGCCCACTCACATAAAAGGTTTAAAGCTGTATAGTTGTGATAAATTGGAGTATCTATGGAAACAAGACTCCAAAGTCGCCTCTATTCTTCAAAATCTTGAAGTTCTTGAAGTTTACTGGTGTTGGAAATTGATCAATGTAGTGCCATCATCAGCATCTTTCCAAAATCTTAAAGTTCTTACTGTAGCAGATTGTAGTGGAATGGTAAACTTAATAACATCTTCCGTAGCAAAAAATCTGGTGCAATTGACAGAAATGGAAATACGAGGATGCCATAAGCTGATCAAAATAGTAGAAAATGATCAAGATGGAGCAGAAGATGAAATTATTTTTACCAAATTGAAGTGGTTGTCACTTGAAAATTTACGCAGTATCACATGCTTTTACACTGGGAAATACACTTTCAGATTCCCAACTTTGAAAGAGTTAATTGTGAAATATTGCCCCAAAATGAAGACTTTCTGTGAAGGAGTCTTAAGCACACCAAGATTACAAAAGGTATGGGATTGGAAAGACAACTGCTTGAATATTGGAAGTTGTTCAGAGGGTGAGCTTAATACAATCATACAAGAATTACACTGGTACGTCCTCATTTATTTATTTATTTTTTGTTTTTATTAATTGTTGTTTCAAGATTTTTACTTACTAGACTTGGTTCATGGAAATCCCTCAGGCGAAATTCAAATTAGAATTTTTTTTTTTTTAAGAAAAAATTTAAATGAAAAAAAGTCAAACTGAAGTTTCATATATAAATGCACATTGCATAAAAAATGAATACATTTGGGCTTTTACTATCTAAAAATGTTCAATGGTCATTCAAGATTATTTGTAAAATGATTAAGAACACTGAATGAAAAAAGAATAGTAATTTCCAAATTTTAATTAAATATAAATATAATAACAACAATAGTAACAATTACGATTATTATGTCGATAAAGTAGATGAATGAAAATTTTAGTTACTGAGAAACAATCAGCTCAGCTTTTAGTTTGAAATTTTGAATTTTGGCAAAAATAAGTTTTTCATTACAAATTTAAATTAACCTTTATCTAGAAACAAATATTAGAGTTTTGAAATTCTATTTAATAGGAAATGCATAAAGGATAAAATTTTAAAAAAGGAAAAGATAAACATTTAATTGGATTAAATGGAGTAAAGCCACCTGCATGCTAACCAAGAGGGTTAATTGTGCATAAAACCCATTGACCTGAAAACCCAAAGCGTGACAACCATTAATAAGATTATTACTGGCATGTTTCCTACTAAACATATATAGTATTGTGTGATATTGTTTATGGGAAACATTAATTTTAACATGCTTTATATGATTGACCTTCAGGTTGACCAGTTTAGAGTATGAGGAAGAGATTTTTAACATAAAAGAATTACGCAGGAAGAGTGGTACGTATTAATTTACTTGTATTATCCGGTATGCTTTTTCTCAATTACATAGATTCAGTTTCTCATTCACATATTAGTTAATATAATTTAACAATACTTCACTTCAAAATGCTTGTGGATAGAATACTACTCAATCCCCATCATCTTATCCTTAATTTTGTCTTTGCTTAATAATATATCATCTTATTCATCTCCAGAGGCAGTCAATAACTCTCAAGTATAGAGCAACTACAATATTATGCATTTTTCTTTTCTTAAATTTCCTGATCAAATAAATGTTTACTTTCTTTCCTTAAATTTTCCTTTTAATTGATAAATTATATCAGTTTATTGTTCAAAGAAACATTCTCTATATTTTTTGCACTTACTCAAAGAATTGTCATATGTGAATATCGCATAATGTTTAGAGTTGTGAGAAAGATTTAGTCAAACTCCGATGCAACCTAATATATTACATAAATGTTTACATAATGTTTCTTGGACATGGAATATCGCATAATGTTTGGAATAAGGCTTCTATGTACGCGGTTTGTGGGGCATTGCACTTCATGTTCCTTGTGTTAAATTCAGAAAATGAGAGGGTTCTCTGTTTTCATCTTCATTTTTATTCTGTTTTTATCTTTCCTTTAATTTGAGATTTCTGCTTTGAAAGTACTTCAACACTGACTTTTCTATCGTTTGATTATTTGAGGTTGAATGTGTTATTTTGATTTTTTTTTTACTTGGTACAATGGGCTAAGATGTGACTCTTTTGAGGCTGAATGTGTTGGCTTTTTTTTTTTTTGGTTGGTGTGGCAGTGGTACAACGGCTACAATGGGGTATGAATGTATGATGTGACTCTTTTGAGGCAACATATTTCCCTCTCTTGAATTGTAAATAAAAGGAGAAAAAGAGTTGGTTTTTGGGCAGGAGAAAATCAAAAAGGGAAAACAAAGGGAGAAACAAGAGAGACATGCAACGCAGGAGAGGGAGAAAGTGATGAAAACAGTTTTTTCCGGCAACTATCCAACAATGAATTTTGCTCCAATGAATCTTACTCCGTTTTGACTCAAATTTCAGAGCGTTATTGTCAACAACAAAATCTTCACATCCAACGGTCAGTTTCTTGATAGTCCTCTTCAATATATATGGGGCTTTGGTGAGATCGTCCATTTTCTCTATTTGAGTGTTTTTTATTAAAATTATTTTATCTTGTTAGGATGACAATTGATGATGTTGTTATAGCATCTAGTTTTATCAATAGAAAAAATCATTGTATGCATTATTTACTATAGTGGAAGTTGGAATCAGACTATGGTGCCGTGATTTTTCCCATTTGAGTTTTCCATGTAAATTTTTGTCTCTTTTATGATTGATTGATTTTGTATTTTTCTGGTGATTTGATTTAAATTATTGGACTAAATTTGCGAACCCATTTAAATCACACAGAGAGAAATCATTTGCTTTGCTTTTGTAGATTGTTCACCGTATCCGGACCGGTTTTTTCCCAAGAGGACGTTGGACAATTCCTTGCCATTTTCTAGTTGTTGCAGATGCATTACATTGGATTCATTACTCAAGTATGAATTATGTGCCTATGGATGTTAACTGATTTCTGTATGTTTCACATTGGACAATTGATTTCTATAGTTTTTACTTTTCATTTATAACAACTTTCACATTTTCCCTATTTGAGTTTTTTTAATTGAAACCTATCTTGTTATGATGATGATTGATGATATTATTGTAGCCTCTTGTTTTATCTAGAGAAGAAATAATTGTACCTATTATTTACTATAGTAGAAGTTGAAATTGGACTCATTGTTTTAAAAACTAGACCGTTGGTTGACCAGATCAAAGAGCTG